CTAACGCAGTCTTCTGCACAGCCAAGTTTGAAAGGCAAACATTTCACTGCTTTTTAAAATGCTCTTAGTTCATTCATTCATCATAATTTTATTAATGTCTTGCTTTCATGTTTGCCTTAAATTTCTCTATGCTGAATTCACTAAGTCTAAAAGGAGGTGATATTTCCAAAGTAAAATGGATCCAAAAATAGATAGCATATGCTTCTTTCATGGCAAGAATTGTTTCAGTGGCAGCCGTTGAGTTGCACAGACATAGTGGTGTAACTTTTGCATTAAAATAATAGGCAGCAGGCCAGGAATGTTGCTCTCCAGCATAGCACCTGCCTGGCAAGCATGAGGTCCTGAGTTCAATTTCTGATTCCAAAAAAAACAATACTGGGCTGGTGAGATGGCTCAGTGGTCTAAAGCACCTACTTGGAACAAGCTTAGCAAAGCACAGGGACTGCAGTACAATCCCCCAGCACCACATGCCAGCCAGCCCCGCCCCCTGGTGGGCTGAGCTGGCCACACACACACACACACACACACACACACAAATAAATTAATTAATTAATTAAAAAAACCCACGATACTATCCAGTCATTTAAACACTTGACAGGAACATTTCATAGAGGGAAGCAGGCAGGATACACAATGTTCATTTTCTTTCTTTACTTTTTATCAGTACCAGGGATCGAACTCAGGGCCTTGCACTTGCCAGGCAAGTGCTTAAGCCACTGAGCTGTCTTCCTGGCCCCACCATGCTCATTTTCTATGAGAGGAAATGCACACAGGAGGTTGTGTGATGGCCCCACCTTTTGCTGTGTCCTAGCGGTGAGCTCCTGGCCCTGCTCCGTGCCTGTGCCACCTCATGCAGCTCTCAAAACTCAGCTGCTTCGCCCCTCTTCCGGCTTCTTTTCATAGCTGGTTACAAGTGTAATTTCTGTGGCTTAGAAAACATCTTCATTCTTGTTTGCTCAAGCTTTCTCCAAGGATGTTGACGTTCAGAGCTGGAGAGTAACTTTGAGATCGGCTCCACTGCCCTGGCTTCTCAGAAGGAGGATCTGAGGCCAGAGCGATTAGCAACCCCAAGAGTTGTGCAAGCAAGCAATAGCTTAACAGCGGAGCTTCTGAGGAGAGGCTGAAGGTACTGAACTTGCTGCCTCCAAATTAATGGACGATGACTTTAAACCAGGTGTGGTGGTGCACCCTCTAATCCCAACACTCAGGAGGGAGGCTGGGGCAGGAGAATTGCCGTGAGTTCGAGGCCAGCCTGGACTACCTAGCAAGACCTTGTCTCAAAAAGAAAAAAGGGCTGGTGAGATGGCTCAGTGGTCTAAAGCACCTGCTTAGGCAAGCTTAGGCAAGCACACAGGGACCACGGTTCCATCCCCAGCACCACATGCCAGCCAGCCCTGCCCCCAGCGCAGGCTGAGCTGGCCACAAAAACAAAAAAAAAACACAAAACAAAAAACGACTCTCACTGGTAGGAGACTTAAGTTTCAAAACAAGGAAACTTTTTACCTCTCTCTAGCTCTACCAAATACAAAACAAGTTTTGATCAGGGTATGCGAAAAAGAATAAGGTTGAATACAAGGGAGAATTGTCTGGCAGCCCAGGTGATTGAAAACTGCAAAGGCTCTCCCATCTCCCCCTTCCTCTGGCTCCATGACCTTTCCTCCTTTCCCTGCTCCTGGCCTCTCTTTGCAGTGCTAAGTATCAACCCCAGGGCCTTGAGCATATCCACTTATAGTTCTGCAACCATAAACATAATCTATTTTAGAACATACTCATTAATTTAAAAAATACTTTTTAATTATAAATCTCCTCCTCCTCAATCCCCTAATCCTAAACAACTACTAATCTCCTTTTTGTCTCTATCAATTTTACCTTTCTGAATAATTCACACAAATGGGATCATATGTTGTCTCCGTGACTGCCTCTGCTCCTTTAGTATGCTGTATTTGTTTTTATTTGTTTGTTTATTGTTTTTTGAGACAAGGTCTCACTGTGTAGATGAGGCTGGACTTGAACTGGTGGCAATCCTCCTGCCTCAGCCTCCCCAGTGCTGGGATTACAGGTGGGCATGACCATGCCTGGCCACACATCCTACTGGTTGGCATGAGGTGGCAGCTCAATGTGGCTCTGCTTTGCATTTCTCTGGTGACTACAGTCGAACATCTTTTCATGAGCTTATTGGTTACTCGAGTATTTTCCTCGGAGAAGCAGCTATTCAGATCCTTTTCCCAGAGAAAAACATCTTTCGGAAAGGTGAAAAGCAGGTGACATTCTTATTCTCTGGGTTGCTTGAGAAGCAGTCCTCTGTTATATAAATTATAAGAGTCCTAACTGTGTGAATTAGAATCCCCCTGACCTATCTAGTTTATTTTATTTTTTTAAATTTATGTATTTGGAACAAGGTCTCACCACGCAGCTTACACAGCACGCAGAGTTGGGGATCGAACCTGGTCCTTGTGCTTGCCAGGCAAGCGCTTAGACCACTGAGTTATTTCTGTGGTCCCCTATCTAGTTTAATACACCTATAGTTTTGAAAGATTTTCATATCTGAAGTTTCATAGAGGTTGAAGACAAAATGCTAGGACAGTTCCCACTTCCCATAAAGATGGTTTTGTTGTTTCTGTTTTCTTGAGACAAGGCCTTGCTATGCAGCTCACGTGTCCTGGAATTCACCGTAGCCCCCACTGGCCTTGAGCTTGGGGTGACCCTCCTGCCTCAGCCTTTCAAGTTCTGGAATCGCAGTTATGTTCCACCACACGCGGCAAAGATGAACTTTTCCGCAGCTGGCCTGGGGAGCTGCCTGTCAGTAAGGGCCTCTGTTTATAGACACATCCCGCAGATCAGGCAGTCCATGTCTGTGCACGAGCCCGCCAGTGGGCAGCTACACTTCACTTTGCATCACTTAGAAATTGTCTGAGAAAGGAAGCCAGATTTTATGGGAATTACAACACTCTGGGGCCCTGTCCTTCTCTGCTAACTGGTGTGGCACTGCTTCACCTTCCAATGTGACATGAAAGCCAGCATGCAGTGGGACCCGCACCCTCAGCCTGGCCAGGGCACAGGCGGCACTCTGGCTTCTCCAAACTTCTCCACCCTCTGGATGGCTTCATTTCAATGTGAACACTTAGAAAATATTTTTAAAGTCCACAGGCTCAGGGCCAGGGAGATAGCTCAGTGGAATAAGAGCTTGCCTGGAAAGCGCAAAGCCCTGAGTTCAATCCCTAGTACTGACGAAGAAAAAAAAAAAGGAAGAAAGAAACTAAAGTCCAAAGGCTCAACATTCCCTTAAATAGAGCTGGTCACCAAAGGAGGAAGAGTGCACCTGGCTTGGGGGGTAGGGTGGAGGCTTGGGAAGCCTGCTGTCCCCTCCCAGGGGACTGAAGCTGCCAACCACACAGTTTGAGCTTACCGACTATTTTAAGCATTACGGATGGAATCTTTCCTTTTCATTAATAAAAGTCTACTTATATTAACATTCACACTTATGTCACCTTGAATAGAACTATGGAAAGGAATACTGTAAGGGCCCTATGAATAGCTGGAAGGATCCAGATCTAATTGTTTTTGTTTTTGAGACAGGGTCTCACTATGTATTGCAGATCTGCCTTGAACTCACTTGTGCAGCCCGTCAAAACAGAACTGCAGGGGGGGGAGGGGGTACACACCTGTAATCACAGAACCTGGGAGGCTGAGGCAGGAGGACTGTTGCAAGTTCAAGACCAGCCTGGGCTACAGAGTGAGCTCAAGGCCAGCCTGAACTGTATAGTAAGACTCTGTCTCAAGAAGTTAAAAAAAAAAAAAAAAAGCAAAAACAAAGACCCTGAAAATGTGTTTGGCTTTAGTAAATTCTCTGAATCAACATACAGAATAATAAGCCAGGTGTGGCAGTGTACACCTGTAATCCCAGCCCTTCAGGAGGCTGAGGCTGGAAGATCACAAATTCAAGCCCATGTTGGGTAACACAGTGGCTTAGCAAGGTCCTGTCTCAAAATAAGCAAGAAATGCTGGAGATACGGCTCAGGGAGAAGGCCCGTAGAGGGTAGCAAACGTAGGGCACAAAGGGCCAGGGAAGCAGTGACCAAAAATAGTGTTCATGTCAAATTAGGATGTAATTACAGATCAAAATGTAGTGAACTAATTTAACCCATATTAGTTTATCTTCCTATATGTAAGAGGTCACTTTCTCTTTCAGTACTGAGGAGTGAACAGGACTGAAATTGCTAGGTAAAGAAAACTGCACACACAGTTTCAGACCAGAAGGCGACGACAGGGTTACACCCCATGAGGGGCCCTCCATACTGCGAGTTCTAACTTCTCAAGGGCCAGTGGAGTACTATTCTGCCATAAAGGATAAACTTGAGTCATTTGTAGGAAACTGCATGCATCTCAAGACCCTAAGATTAACTAAAAGAAATCAGAGAACACATGATTTCTCTTCTATGAGAAACCCAAAATATACAGATAACAGGAATAAGGGAGATTTTTTTCAACTGGGAGGAAAGCAAGGGATGGAGGGAAGGGAAAGGGCATGAAAAAAATTTTTTAATGGAAATGGAGCTTTTGAAACTGAGAAGGGGGGGCTGCTGAGATGGCTCAGTGGTCTAAAGCATCTACTTAGAACAAGATTAAGCACAGGGACTGCGGTTCAATCCCCCAGCCCTGCCCCACACACACACACACAAATAAATTTAAAAAAAAAAAAAAGAAACAGGGAAGGGGACCAAGAGATAGAGTAGGGGGCGGCGGAGGCAGAAGGAACAGAAAGGAACCAGGATTTGTGTGCATGTGCCAACTGCCCACCATGAATGGAAGCAACCCACCATGAATGGAAGCAATCAGTGTATGTATTTAGAAAAAAAAGCTCTCCAGGGTCAGCAGCTTCCCTTCGTCCTGTGGCTCAGGAAGCCAGAGGGTGGGCCAACTGAGACGGCCAAGAGCAGAACACCCTGACCTCGACAGGTCATAATTGCATCTGTGGTCTCCACGGTGACCTGTTTGAGCCACACTCTCAGAACTGTGGGGTTAGTGACATCCCACGACTGGACCAAACCCAGTCCCAAGAACAAGCCCTGACTACTGTAAGTAACTCCCAGACCTCATTCTAATACAACGCAGTGTCAGTATTTAATTCATGCTTGGAAACCAACTGGCATGACCTGGGAAGGAAAGGACTTCCCTGTGGGATCTGAGAAGTTCTGGTAGCTGCTTTCACTCCCGTGTTCATGGTAGTAGTCAGAGAATCTCCTACGCTAAAGCCACAGGTGACAGGAAGAAGGATCCAGAGCAGATCATCACCCCCACTGTGCCTTCAGTCAGTGGACAGTGCTTGGGGACAGCTGCCCAGTGGGTTGTAGGTCGTGGCCCCGGTGCTCCTGGTGGCCATTCCAGGTCCAGAAATCATTTCTTGTAGGTGGCTCCGGGAGAAACTTTCAAGGACCCATGTGTGGACGCCACTGTTTCCGCTGACCAGCTCCTTCCCAGCAGCCAAGTAAGTCTGTAAAGATCAGATTGGGTCCCCTTTCCTGGCCCATCATGAATTCTACTCTTTATTTCCTGTATAACAAAAAAGCTGCTACAGGTTTCTCCCTTAATTATAACTTTTTCTTGACCACTTCAATTTCTCTTCCCCAAGTAACCAAACTCCAGTCTCCCAGAATGCCCTAACTTGCCTTCCTTCCTATGGCAAGCAAGAGCTCGAAACTGAATGAACTCTTACAGGCATTAATTTCTAGACTATCCTAAGATGTTCATTTAAAGAGCTTGGAGCACCCCCTTTCCACCTCTATACATTGTAGTTGTTTTCCTTGGGGGTTGAGCACACCTCCTCTTAGTTTTCAGAGCTGCTTGGGAAAATGAGGGAAAGGCGTAATTCTTTTTCATTGTGGAAGACTAGGATAAAACCTTACTTCATAAGCCACCTACTCAACTGCTTCTTGTAGTAAGGGTAGAGTCACAATGTCATCTCACAAAGAAAATTATTAGATAAGGAGTACCTGTCAAATAGCAGCGCCTTCAGTCTAAAATGGTTAGACAGTTTCCCATATGGTTCTGTCCCTGAAGAGTCCTTAAGTGTGTATGTTGGGATCTCAGTGACACTGATATTAGAGATGACTTTAAGGAGTCAGCAGATTGTGTCGGATTCCCTGGAGCATGGACCTTCAAAAGGAGAGTACAGTGCATGGTGACACACACCTGTAATCCCAGCTCTCTGGGTGGCTGAGACAGGAAGATCACAATTTGGAGCTCAACTTAGTAATTCAGTGCCTTAGTGATTTAGTGAGATACTGTCTGGAAATTAATTTTGAAAAGGCTGAGGACATAGAGCAGTAAAAAGGCCCAGTACCACCAAAAAAAGAAGAAGAAGAAGAAGGAGAAGGAGAAGGAGAAGGAGAAGGAGAAGGAGAAGGAGAAGGAGAAGGAGAAGGAGAAGGAGAAGGAGAAGAAGAAGAAGAAGAAGAAGAAGAAGAAGAAGAAGAAGAAGAAGAAGAAGAAGAAGAAGAAGAAGAAGAAGAAGAGGAGGAGGAGGAAGAAAGAAAAGAGGGAAAAGAACAATACATAAGCAGCCACACTATCAGAAGTCTGCATGTCGCTCTACAGGAAACAGTGTGCTATCCGGAGCTGGCCCAGAGCCCCCAATCTCCAATGAAGAGTAGACAGCAAAAGCTTAAATGAAACAGACAAGTAATATGGTTGGAGGGGTCCAAGAAGGTCACAACTTTCTTGGATCTAAGAAAGACTTCTACAGATCACCCACATGTACTGGTTTTCCAGCGAAAGGTGGAGATAGCTTAGGTAAAGGTAGGAAACGGAGCAGGACCTTGGAAAGTGAGAACAAAGACCTTTTCATGCAGTTCATGTTGCCAATGAAGAGATCTGTTTGGTCTCTAAGGTTGGTGTTATTCATAGCTGTGGAATAGGGGGTGGCAGCCCCCCGCCCCCCCGGACTGCACTCTCACCTTGCCTTCAGGGGCTTGACTACGAGCTGTCTGACACACAGAGAGAGCCCCGTGTCAGCAGCGCAGCCCTGCATGGCCCTGTGCTCAACAGTGTGCCCTCCTCCGCACCTCCTTCATGACCAATCTACTGGGATGGTCATTTAGCTTCCAGCACACACAGCAAAGCAGACAAGGAGAGTAGCTGACAACTAAGGACAGCCGTCATTTTTTGTCAGCAGTTATAATAAATGACAGCTGGCTGATAGGGAAACCGGGGAGCACAGAGATTTACTTCTAAAGAGGGGGGAGTGCTATAAAAGCTCCAATCTCAAAGATGCAGAGCACCTCTCAGGCTTTCACCGAGAGCAAACTGGTCAAGCAATGGCTGTGACTCATCCACGTGGCTGACACTGACAAAGGATCTACAAACTGCGGTACAGGGTTACAGGGTAAATCCTGAGGGGATTTGACTCACCTTGTCAGACACAAAAGTTACATTTCTTGTTCTATAGGTCCTGCTTTATCTTGGTCTTAACCATCCAGCCAAAAAGTGTAAAAACGAAGTATAAAAAGTAAAGCTGTATTAATGTGCTGAGCTATAAAAGGCTTAAGGCAGCAACTTCAGACATTGCCAGTCCTATGGAAAACCCACTACTATTATGGACTACTGGACTATATTGCAATATTTTGCTGAATTCATGCATCTACAATATGTAAATGACAATGGAATACCCATCTCTGACAAAACTAAATTAAAAAAGGGGATACAAAAAAAAAAAAAGATGCAGAGCAATGTAGCTTCCAGGCAAGCAAGCCTCTGTGACACTGCCATCATCTCTGTCACAACACAGGCAACATGGACGCTGATGGGATTGTCCTCAGATGTCACAGTGGGGAAGACAAGCTGGAGGTCAAGACCAGCTCTTCCAACTTACAGATGAGGAAGTAAGAGGCCCCAGGAAGCAAAGGGTCACAGCTGACAAGAAGGAAAATAGCCAGCAAGGGCCATGTCTTGTCCTTTACACCGTAACTCAGAGAGCAAAGACAGTGCATGGCCTCAGAAATTATTAAAATGCTGCACAGGGCTCAATAAAGGTTTGAAATGTTTTCC